AGACAGACAGACAGACAGACAGACAGTCAGACAGACAACAGACAGACAGAGACAGAGACAGAGACAGAGACAGCAGAAGACATTCAGAGAGGGAGAGCGAGGCCTGCGTGAGATTAGAGTAGAACAGTGAGTGAGAGAAGAGACTTACCTGTGTGTTTTGTTGAGCGGCCATAGGCCCAGGATTGGAGAAGACAATTCTGTTAACTTCCGTTGATTGGCCAAGACTATTTATGAGTTCATATCTCATGTACACTTCTTGTGTGCTCGGACTTGTGTGACAATAGTGTGAAAGTGTGTGATGCATGGTGGTCTCAATTCAGTGATATCCAAGCAGACTCATTGTCTTCAGGAGTGACGAGTAACTAGAAGTTGCTGGCGAAGTTTGGAAAATGGCCGGAAGGCGTGTATCGACAGTGGCAAGGAGGAAGGAAGGGAGGACTGAAGAAGAAGTGGTCGAGGTGAAGGGAGCATACCGATGGTTGCAGGGAGGAGAGAATCGTGCTGATTGTCTCGACTTACCTGCTGTTGCTGGTCTTCCTGGAATGAGCTGCTGTCTAGGGTATTCAATCTGGCACATGAACACGTAAAGTAGTTGCATGGGCATAAAGCGGCGCGATCATTGAACAACCCGGCTAGCCTGATGACCGGTACTGATCGAAGTGCTAGAGAGGGACTGGTCCACCTGTTGAGAGGGAGTTGGTTACTTACCGTCAAGCCAAGTCGTCCTGATTGCGATGACATTGCTGGTTGCCTTGATTGGTGGTACCTGCAACCCTTAATGACACCTGACGTCAGTAACTGATACTAAGGTCAAATCAACACCTTAGAGAAGGAAAGTTAAAATCTTAGGTCACTTTTGGGGTGGGTCTAAGTGGTAGGAGGTTGTGGAACAGGGTCTTACCGGATCGACTGTTGTGCAAACGCCTTCACCATGGACAATTACCCAATGTATGACTTTCTCCTCCTCTCGCGCTTTGGCACACCTTTTTGCAGTTATGTTTCCGTTAGGGTTGCCATGGGTCCACTTGATGTCCCCCATGCAGGTGCGAAGTGGGAAAGAGATCCCTCAGCCTGGAGAGTAGTATGACAAAAAGGAGGAGGAGGAGAAGGCAGAAACCTTCGCTGAAGGAGGGAAGAAAAAGGATGAAAAGGCCCAAAAGGGAGAAAAAGAGGAGAAGAAAAACAAAAAAGAGGATTCACAATCAGAAGAGGAAGAAGAAGTAGAGGAAGAAGCAGAAAAGGAGGAGTCTGCTGCAAAGGAGCAGACTGAGGGAGGAGGATCCAGTTCTTCCGCAAAGGTACGCACCAACCAGCTCCAGTTTGTTAGCTTCCGCCTCTGGCTCGGGCAGATATCAAACAACAAACAGCATTGTTACAAGCATTGGAGAAGGCCGAGGAGGAGAAGGAGAATGCATTGAACGAGGAGCCAGCACTGGCTAGGGCTAAGGAGGAGGGAAATCAAGGTAAGGACCTGGAGAGGAAGACAATTGCGGAAGCAGCCCTAACACAGATTCGTGCACTGGAGAAGTGGCAGCATGAGGTCAATGCGCGGCTGGAGCATAAGATGGAGTGCACTGCACTTATCTTTGCCAAACACATAGTAGATTTGAGAAAAACTTTGAGAAGAGGTTGAAGGTGCATGGGGAGCGGATGGAGAAAACGATGTAGGAAGTTTTGAGAAAGATGAAAAGGGGAGGAGATGGAGATGGTGATGGAGACGGAGATGCAGGAGGTCCTAGGAAGCAAGAAGGCAAGAAGTTAGACCACCATACTGGGCACTGTACGGTCAAAGGATCAGAATGAAGTTGCTGGACCCATACTCAGGGCAATCAGGGGACTGGGGATGGGCTGGGGTAGGGGGAGGAGAGTGGGGAGAATGCGTTTTGATGCAGAGAGGATTGATTGGGCAGTGTATTGCACATATTGCTTTGCTGTTCAGTACCCTGCACAAGATCAAGTTGTTATTACGCCGACAGAGCGCTGAAGAGGGATGAGAAGGCATGGGTCATGAGCCAAGTGCATGCCGCCGGGTACGTGGACAGGATAGATGCCTACTGTAAGGCCCTAACCCTATATGAATTCCTGGCTGCACTTCTTGACTGTTTTAGAGATGAGAACCAGGGACTGATCGGGGGAGAACAAATCATGAACATCCAGTGTAGATGCGCTTGTTAGGAAGATGGATAGCCTCTTGCAGCAGCCCAGCCATGGAGTAATGGACGAGCAGAATGGAGACAGTTGGCTAAGGCCGTGCTTGAGGCAGTTGTTACGATCCTGGCCAATTTCGAAGTACACAATCATCAGAAAGTACAATGCCGTCCAATTGCAAAAATAAATGAATGAACTTGAGAGGAGAGAGAGAGAAAAAAGAAGAAGAAGAAGAAGAAGAAGAAGAAGAAGAAGAAGAAGAAGAAGAAGAAGAAGAAGAAGAAGAAGAAGAAGAAGAAGAAGAAGAAGA